GATCAACGTCCAGAAGCAAGAATCCATCCTTCACAGTATGAATTCCGCGTCTGATTCTGCTTTTGCTTCTTTCTCCATGGAGTAGTTCTCCCATTCATCTGGGTATGGAGAACCCTAGATTTGTATGTTAGGTTTGATTGTATGAACCCAAGTACTGATTCTATGATTTGATTAGATTCGATTGAGGTTTGAATGATTGAATGACTTGAATCCTGATCAAATTCCTGTTGTTTCTACTTTAACCTAGAATGAGAATATCTGCTTAGGTTGATAGAGCATCCTTGATTGAAGGTAGGGAGTTGGTGACTTTAGTCGAGGAGCCAACTCACTATTCTGTACCGAATTCACTCCGGTAGTGGAGGTTTTGTTTGTTAAGGCCTCAATCTGTTTACTACGGTGGAGGTTGGTCGCCCGCTAGAAACTCAGATTGAGAGGGTCTGAAGACCTTTAGTCGAGACTTCAGGCTGTTTAAGAACCTTCCGCAGTATAACTATCATAGAAACTGAACTTGGTAATTACAATCCGGCTTAACTGCAGTCTAGGGGGAACCATATCCGGGTGACCTGTCTTAACCTGAATACAACAATTTACTTGCTTTGTTAGTTTGTTAGTTTAGACTTGCATTAAAGTTTCATTGCTAGATAACAAGAATTCACCGAGTAGTCATCAAATCTAGGACCCGGGTTGACATTTAAACCCAAACCCGCTATACTACGCTTTAGGAAGTGGTTTCAGTTGGCCAATTCCTGGAGTGACAGTAGAAGTGAGTCAACTTCTTAAGCAACATTTGAAAGAAGATTCCCTTTCCACATTTTAATCTTCTGTCTTAATTTGTCAATGAGTTGTGAGAACACAACTTTCTTAGCTCTACCAATGACTGTTGGGAGTCCTAGATATTTCTCATGTTGCATTATAGTTCTCATCCCAAGTATCTCAGCCATTTTCTTTCGATCGGCCTCTATGACATTTGTGCTAAAGGACAGTTCAGACTTAGCAAGACTGACTTGTTGTCCTGTCTTCAAAGCCTCTCCTTCCTCCTTCTTATTTTAAAAAAAGAAGATACTATCATCAGCAAAGAAGAGGTGTGTGATCAAGGGGCCATTGCTACTAACCTTGATTCTTTTTTAGTTTCCCTTCCTCCACAGCTCTCTTTGTAAGAGCAGACAATCCCTTAGCACATAGGAGGAACATATAGGGAGAGATAGGGTCTCCCTGCCTTAGACTTCTTGACGGTTTAATGATCTCAATCCGGTGACCATTTATTAATGCTGAATAGGTAACCGTAGACACATTGCATTATTAGGATAACCCAGTCTTCATGGAATCCCATTTTAGCATAATCCCTCTTATAATTTTCACTCCACCTTGTCATAAGCTTTTGCTATGTTCATTTTTGCAGCAACATAGCCCTTCTTTCTCGGCTTTCTCTTTTTCGTAGCATGAAAGCATTCAAAGCCAACCATTATGGTTTTTCAATATTCCCCCCAGACACAAAAGCACTATGAGTTTTTGTAATTACCAAGTCCAAGATCCTCTTCAGCCTATTTGCGCGGACATTTGATAGGATTTTTTAAAGTACCTTGCAAAGGGCAATATGCCTGAATTCTTTTGGGGAACTTGGCTTCTTAGTCTTTGGTATTAGTGCCAATAGAGTGTGGTTAGGAGTGGGGGAATTTGTCCAGTTAGAAGGATTCTTTGAAGTTCCAAACATATAGTATCCCTAACCACTGCCTTGTTCTTCTGAAAAAATAGAGACGACATTCCATCTGAACCAGGAGCCTTAGTTGGTGCCATCATCTTAAGAGCTCCCCACATTTCCTCCCTAGTAAAAGGTGCTAGAAGTTCTTGATTGATTTGGGGAGTAACCCTTGGCTCAACAGCTTCTATTACCTCTTCCATATTCAATAAATGTCCAGTTTGGTATAGGACTTTAAGGTACTGCAAAAAAACACCCCATAACCTCCTCCTGTCTATTGAATTCGATTCCATCTTCATCTCGCAATTCCTTTATTGTATTCCGCCGTTGCTTGTTTGAGGCCTTCCAGTGAAAGAAACCTGTATTCTTGTCATCCTCCTTTAGCCAGTCATTTGTGGATCTTTGCTTCCATTTTATCTCCTCATGAGTCAACACTTCATTCAGCTCCCTCTCTAGTACTCTGCGTTGAATCAAAACTGCCTTATTTTTTCTCAGTTTAGCTATTTTAGCCAGAGCTCTTTCAATTTTCTTTCTTCTGGCTTTCAAGCTACCAAACATTATCTTACTCCAGTCAAAAAGAGCTTTTTCACAGTCTTCAATTCGATCTTTTAGGGGTGTATCAAGGTCTTTACACCATTCTGCTTCAACGACAGCAGAACACTCTTCACGGTTATGCCAATAGGCTTTAAATTTGAAGTGTCATCCCCATCTTACTCTCTCTTCCTGCAAATTCAGTTCCACTTTTATATGCAGATGATCAGAAACCCATCTGTTTAAGTGGTAAACTCGAGCCTCAGGAAACCATGATTTCCAAGCAGAATTAGCTACTGCTGTATCAAGGAATTGTTCCAAGAAAGTTTCATCCACTCTCCTGTTGTCCCATGTGAACATATTGCCATACTAACCCAGGTCTTCTAGTTGACATTCATCTAGTGTAGTTTGAAACTCCTCCATATTCTAAATATCATGTGGATTAATGCCATTCTTTTCTTCGTAGCTTAGTACTTGATTGAAGTCCCCACACAACAACCATGGCATATTATGTTGACCACTTAGCCGTCTAATTAGATCCCAAGTCTGTGGTTTGTTTTCTTGTTATGACCACCCATAAATGCCAGTTAGTCGCCACATGTTTTCGTCTGGACCCTTAGTGATCCAGGCATCTATGTAATTACAAGTCAAGGCTTTAATAGTGACTTGGATCTCCTCCTTCCACAATAGTAACAGACCTCCTGCTCGGTTCCTAGATCCTACACCCTTACCCTTTGACCATCAGAATTGTTGATGGTGTGTTCCCATTCATGTTCTTGCTTCTTAGTCTCCATAAGGAAGACTATATTGGGGTCTTGTTCTCTGAGTAGCTCAGCTACTCGTGCAACTCCCGTGGGATCCCCCAAACCACAACAGTTGTAACTTATAATACTCATTGGGCTAGGCGGCCTTGAAACTTCTCAGGGACCGCCACTCCGCCAACCAATTATTTGTTTGTAATCAATTCATATGTCTTCCTTCCATCCTGTCTATCTTCCTTATTTCCATCCTTGCTCATATTAGTCCTTCCACCCTTGTTTTGGTTGTTATTTCCATCCAATACCGCCATTAGTGTTTTTCCACCCACTCTAATTGCCTTGTTTTGGTCATCACGTCTCATCTGTTGCTCATCCCCACTTTTCATATCCTCCATTTGTTTATTCTTCTAACTCCCTTTCGTGTGCGTGAATATTAAAGTTTTAGCTTTCTTTTGGTGCTTATTATCTATATCCCTTGTGTCTCCTGGCCCTCCTAGTGGCTCCGTAGTGCCTTCTGAGGGGTGAGCTGCACTGGATTTATCTCCCAAGCTCGCACCTATTCCTGTCGCTTCCAAAATCTCCCACTTGGTATTCTCTGTCCCTTCTCTTGTCTCTCCTTCTTTGAGAATTTCTTTACCGAGCCCATTGTCACATGGGCTCTATTTTGCTTAATTCCAGCTGTAGAGGTTCCAATTCCAGCAGTCTCTTTTTGTATTATCGTTTTCTGTTTCTCTCCCACTGCCTCTGGATGCAGCCTCTCTGACTCCATTCCTATGTCCATAGGGACATGCTCCGTGCTTGTGCCATGAGGGTTTTATTCCATCTCAGTGTGATTGTCTCCTGTTGAGGTGGTGAATCTTTTCCAGAATTCGATCCCGAGCTTTCTAGATCAAATTATCTTCTAAGTTGTCTCCCAAATATCCGCTTATTCTTTCTTCTCTCTTTGCGACAACCAATTCCATGGTGCAGGAGGAGCTGTTCGCATATCAAAGCCAAAAGGTTCAACTTCCAACTATGATGGTTAGGGACATCTGGTTTTGATGTGTCCTATTTTGCCACATGAATAGCAGAAGAGGGGAAGCTTCTCATACATTATCAAAAATTCCATCAGTTCTCCCCCAGCATTTAGCTTAATATTCTTTTTCGGAGGATTATTGATAGAGATGCTTATTCGAAGTCGTAAGAAATCATCCCACAATTTCTCAGAAATATCATCAAAGAAAACAAATTCACAAATTCTATTCGCTATCTTCTCTTACATGGATTGTGTTCTAAGCTCATCTGGGGAATCTTTAATCTGAATGCATATTTCCATCTTATGCAGGTCTGTAGGTGTCGGTTTCTTGATCCACTAGCTTGCTGTGAAGAGCTCATAATTCTAGGGCCCTCCATAGCAAACCTTGTTACGATCATCCTACTCCAGTAATATGATAACCTTTCTTTAAGCCCCATGCTTTTGTCAATGCGTATTTCATTGACTTGATATTTGGTTCCTTATCTGACAGTAGTCTTCTCACTAGTCCCAGATGATGAATAACCTCCATTCGTACCACATCGATATTAGCATCCCCAACTTCCAACGTCTCTTCGTCATCCTCATCCAATGTTCCTCATCCAATGTGATTTGATTGAGTTTATCTTCCAGTCCATCTGTAGGTTTCAACCCTCCCCCAATAGCCTCCTTATCAATTGTTTCCTTCGCTCTGATGTTTGTGGATTCCATCCTCGAAAGACTCAGTCTGGACTCCTTGTTATGTAACTTGAGTTACACTCTTCCTTTCTTCGCCGACTTTCGTTAGGTTTTCGAGAGAACACTTGTTTTCCGCTTCATCTCAAGATGGCTAAGAAACGTTGCAAAGTCCTGGAGGTTATCCCTCGTAGCTCTTAAATCAACTTTCATGTGAGGTATATTGTTCCAGAATCAGAGTTCGATCACCATTTTGCTCTCGGAAAACCTAGCGCTTCCGCCGGCTAGGCTTCGCAACTGGGCCCGAATTCCGGGTGCCCGCCCACGCCCGATTCGTTTCCTGTCGGATTAATCCGTTTGACCGGATTGTTGACGGGTTTCGGAGAGCCCGAAACCCGTTGTAGCCGGTTGACGGGAGTTGATGATTTTGATATTATCCGCCCCGGTAGTCCTGACACCCGGAAACTCGGCGACCCTATGCCCTTCTCCTCATCCTCTGCCGACTGCCGCCGCTGCCACATTCATCCTTTCCTACCTCCCTTGCCGCTGCTTTCTTCACGACCACCACCACCCTCTCGCCGTCCTTAGCCCGCGGTGGCGGCGACAACAACAGCTTATCAACCTCATGATGATGAAGATGATCTCTTCTAATAGCATGCACCTCCTCCTTGATCTTCCTCAACCCAAGTAACCTACTGCAGGCGATACGCTTCTCTTCCTTGCTCAGGCATCGCCAGCTCCCTCATCGACGGGGGCCGGCAGCGGATGAGGCGAATCGACGTCGTGGTGGTAGCGGGTAAACCCGTTAACCTTGATTGTAGCCCGTTACCCGATGGATTCGGGGTTGGGCCTGAAGATGAGCCCGTCAGGGCTAGTGGGGCGGATTCGGGGAAAGCCCAACAGGCTTTCGGACGGGTGACGAATAGGCCCTCCCCGGCCCCGATCCGACCCGTTGCCAAGCCTACCGCAGAGAACCGGAGATACCTGGAAACCAAGAAACAAAAGATGGGCCACGTCTATGGTCCTGATAATGGTCATTCCAACAGAACCCCAGAAGATGGTTTATTGGAGGCATAGATCATCTCCCCCTCAAAGGATACACCAAGGGGAACTTGCTTGTTTTCTTCATTGACTGGAGTCTTACATTCTTTGAACGAAATACATCTGCCGCCACACTAGCCTCTCGATACACGAGAGAAAAAGAATACAGATTAATTAACAGATAATTAGATGGAAGGGTAAACTCGTTGTGTTTTAATATTATAAAGATATGTTTATGCAAAAATTTAATAAAAAGCTACGTTTGTTAACTATCATATTAGAGGAGTAGAAAATGATATTAACTTTTATTTTTAAATCACATTATTTATGTAAAAACCTTTGTTCAAACGGTGAATACAAAATCAAAATTTGAGTAACGATTCCCACCAACAGGGCTGCCATCATGATCTGAAGTAGGTGTTTGGACGCTGGTGGGAGCCGAGAAGTAGAAGATCTTGTAAAAGAAAAGGTATAGATTCATTGCACTGTTCAGCCCATGGAGGCGGCGCCGTGGTCGGAAGAGTCATCATTCATGCCTGTGGAGATTAAAGGACGGCCTGCTTCATTCCACTCCACCCGCCACTGCCACACTAGAACCCGATTAATACTTTGATTAATTCAATTAAACTACCAAACTATGCAATTAGCAGTAGGTTATGGTGGCAAGCAAGATCCGTGCCACGTGATGATCGTTTTAGCGATATAAAGACCAGAAACATCTTCATCGCAATCACCACATTCGTCATCCGATCCACAAACCCAAACCGTCTTCTTCTTCTACTTTCGTCCCTGTTTCCCAGTTTTATTCTTGGGCGCGGTTAAGCGGTTTGGCGCGTACACTCGGGGCGATTTCTTTCTTCCCCCTTCCTACCTTCCGTTATTACTGTTTTTATTTATTATATTAAATTCCATTACAAGAAGGCATACCGTTCCTTCCTAATCTCGGTCCTCAGCCGCCGGAAATCGGATTGTCTCCCTTTTTGTCTTCCGTATCTGACTCTTCCTCCCCTTTTTAGCTCTGTAACGCTTTGCTTTCTCTTTCACGATCAATTGGAAACCAGAGCCCAAGGCGTTGATGGCTTCTCCCGTTCATTTCCTCCGTTCCCCGTTGGCTCCCTCGCCTTCACTGTGAGTACTTCTTTCTGTCTCTACCTTTTCTCCATCTGGGTTTTCTGGATTTCAGTTCTGTAGCTGTCCCTCATCCCTAAATCTATTCAAAGGTATTATCTTGGATGGGATTGTATCAATTCGACCCTTGTGCAATCTACTGCGCTTAATTCCCCCTGTTGCTCGCGTTACTGTTTTTTTTTTCTTCGTCTTTGAGGCTTTCATTTTTCATGGTTGATGGTGATGTTGCCCCTCAGTTTTAGCCTAGATGCACAAGTCCTTGTTTGCACTCCTGTCATAATTTATGACTTGTATATGTTAATTTTTTTTTCTGTCTTTCAGAGGCTACCCAGGTAAGAGTTCCTTGCATCCGCTGGCAGTGAATGGGAGCTGTAACAATGTGCTCTCCTCCACCGCTGCTGCTAGAAAACTGTTTGCTGCTGGTTTCAAGGGGTTGGGCAGAAGCAGCAGAAATGGTGTGAATAGTAGAGCCTCTGTGATTTCTGGGGAAGGTGATCTTCTTGCTTTCCCCAGGAAGGATACACAAGATATCTTTGCCACTGATAATGTGACGAACTCGCTTTCTGGGATTGAGTTGCAACCTGATGTGGTAGATTTCGCAACTCTCTCTGCGGAGATGACTCCCACCAGGACTAGTTTTTCCCTTGATAATGATGAATATGACTTGGATCGTCCTACTGAAGGGTTTAGTTCTATCCCTGATGCTATTGAAGATATCCGCCAGGGCAAGGTTGGTTGGTAGCCCTCTTTCCTTCTTATTGAGAATTTTGGTACAGTGATATAGAGAATGAAGTTTGTGATCATATTTACATCGTCATGCAGTTTGTGATCGTGGTTGACGATGAAGATAGAGAGAATGAAGGTGACTTAATCATGGCAGCTTCTAAGGCAACACCTGAAGCAATGGCGTTCATTGTCAAGCATGGAACTGGGATAGTCTGTGTGAGTATGAAACATGAAGATTTAGAGAGGCTGCAGCTGCCTCTGATGGTATCGACTAAGGAAAATGAGGAAAAGCTTTGCACAGCTTTTACAGTGTCAGTTGTAAGTAGCAGTTTTATCATGTTTGCTTGCGCTGCTGGCTACTTGTAGCAGAGAAGTGAACTATTCATCTGATATCATGCGATTTGGCTATTGTTTAGGATGCAAAAGTTGGTACAACGACTGGTGTTTCCGCTCGTGACAGGGCGACAACTATATTGGCTCTTGCGTCTAAGGACTCCAAGCCAGAAGATTTCAATCGCCCGGGTCATATATTCCCTCTCAAGTATAGAGAGGGTGGAGTTTTGAAGAGAGCTGGTCATACAGAAGCTTCTGCTGATCTGTCGATGCTGGCTGGTTTGGAACCCGTTGCGGTTTTGTGCGAGATTGTTGACGATGATGGCTCCATGGCTAGACTGCCCAGACTGCGAGAGTTTGCAAAAGCAGAGAATCTAAAGATAGTCTCAATAGCTGATCTTATCAGGTACCACAGTTGTACTGGTTTCATCAACGTTTATATGTCAAGTATAATGCTTGTAATGATGATACCGGACTTTATCTTTGAATCATCTTGTTTCTGAATCCAAGAAAATTCTGGCTTGTGCCCGCAGATTCAGGAGGAAAAGGGACAGACTAGTGGAGCTGTCTGCTGCTGCTCGGATACCAACAATGTGGGGGCCTTTCAAATCCTATTGCTACAGGTCGTTGATTGACGGGATTGAGCACATTGCCATGGTTAAAGTAAGCTCCATTTGCTAATTACACATGCAGATTGCAGACGAACGGTTTGCACAAATCTATGTTGCTTTACATTTGATGCAGACACCGAGTTCAAAATACTGTCTGTAGTTAACTACCTGTTGCATCTTTTTCATGCGATTATGATATTTTCGCCATATGCAGTGTGGATTGAATGTTAAAAAAGCTGTACGTTTCTGTATTCCACTCTGGCTTTCATGATACACAAATGTTTTGAGAACTTGTGTTCTTGAGATATCCCATACTTTGTCTGCAATGGATAAAATGTCAACCAACTGTTAAAGATATTTGATTGTTTCATTATCGAAGACAAAAGTGCACCTGCATGATAAGCATGTCCATTTGTAATACAATACTTGTATTCCAACTACCAACGACAAACTGTTTATTTTATTGTATGCAGGGCGAAATCGGAGAGGGAAATGATATACTTGTTCGAGTGCACTCTGAGTGTCTGACTGGCGACATATTTGGTTCTGCAAGATGTGATTGCGGCAATCAGCTAGCACTTGCTATGAAGCAGATTGAAGCAGCCGGTAGGGGTGTGCTGGTTTATCTCCGTGGACATGAAGGTAGAGGTATTGGTTTAGGCCATAAGCTTCGTGCTTACAACCTCCAAGATGATGGCCGTGATACTGTTGAAGCCAATGAAGAGCTTGGTTTACCAGTGGATTCCCGTGAATATGGCATTGGTGCACAGGTATATAGTTTTCACAATCATCCAACATGCAGTCAGAAATCCCAGATCATAATATGTATTGTCTAATGCTTTGCAACGGCTGAACATCTCATCATTTGTTTTCAGATACTCCGAGATCTTGGTGTTCGCACGATGAAGCTGATGACAAACAATCCCAAAAAATACATTGGCCTCAAAGGATACGGTCTCTCTGTTGCTGGAAGAGTTCCATTGATTACTCCAATCACAGCAGAGAACCGGAGATACCTGGAAACCAAGAAACAAAAGATGGGCCACGTCTATGGTCCTGATAATGGTCATTCCAACGGAACCCCAGAAGATGGTTTATTGGAGGCATAGATCATCTGTCCCTCAAAGGATACACCAAGGGGAACTTGCTTGTTTTCTTCATTGACTGGAGTCTTACATTCTTTGAACGAAATACATCTCCTGCTTAAAAATCGTTCACTTGGTTTCTAGAACTGTAAATATTTTGCCAGTTGAGTGTTCTAATGTTTTCTCTTGAGAGGCTAAATTTATCTTCTAGTTGTATCGTTTGCTGAGCATTTTGCGTTCCTTTATATCAGCTATGGCTGAAAAAGAGTAATAAATCCACGTTTGTTTGCTTCCAATTCATATATTATTGCTGTTGTTGTTAGTACCTCTATTGGCTTCCTTCAGAATGAGTTTCAATAGGCTCCCGTAAACTTCAATTGCAGACTCCAGCATGTTAATTGCCTTGCCTCTATCTTCCATTACAGAGCTCATAACTTTCTCAAGTTCCCCTGCTTCTTTTATACCTAGTGCACATAGCTCTTTCCCAGGCAATCCAGAGGGAGAGGAGCTTCCACCACAACCCCAGAAGTCAAATGATTCAGAGCCGCCATAACCATGCCTTCTTCTTCCGCCATCATCAACGATCCCACGCTTGGCAACCACCATCTCACTTATGCTCTCTAGATTACTATCCCCCATAGTTATCACAATCTCCCCTGTCTCTACTTTCCTCACATGAACACTGCCGTCTTCCGCAGCGGATACCAATCTCTTCCCGCCGTTCACCAGAGCGATTGACACAATGGCAGCACGGTGTTTTCCTGGCAATGCAGTAATCAATTGGCCACTTCTATTTTTCCTGCTTTCATATTTCAGAACTCCATGGTAAACTGAACCATCAGAACCTGCAGCGTAGAGATCTGTCTCCGATGGGTCCAAAGCAACTCCTGAAATTGGACACGGAAACGCCACCGTCATGAGGTTCTTCCCTTCCAGAAGATTCCATAGCTTGCAAGTGGAATCAGTTGAGCAGGAAACCACAGTGGGCTGAGAGATACCCATACAGAGGACAATGGCGGTCACAGGCCCATCATGGGCTGTAAAGCTCATCGTCATTGACTTGTCGTTTTGGCTTTGGGAGGAATTTTGAAGGAATTGGAAGACTGGGAAAACAGCGATTCTGCCGTCGTCTCCTCCTGAGACGAGGAGCGACCAGTCAGGGGAAATTTCCAGGCAAGAAACAGGGGAGCCAGGGTGAGCAAGGAAGGAAGCGATTAGGTCACCGGAGGGGACAGAAAGAGAATGAATGTTGCCCGAGAGGCCGCCGGCGAAGATGCATGAGCCGTCGGGGGAAGGGGCGAGAGGGGCAACGGGTTCCGGGAGAGGGAGGCGGTGGAGGGCGGTGGATGACCACCAATTGTAGAGGTGGACGGCGGCGGTGGAGGAGGAGGAGATGTGGGAGGCGGCGATGTAAGTGTTTTGTACTAGAGCGAGGCCGCGGCGAGGGGAGCGGGTGCCGGTGAGGCGGGCAAGGACGGCTCCGGTGGAGGCGTTGTAGGCGGTGATGGGTCCCTCCGGTGAGCTGGTGAGTACGATATCATGTGAAGAAGAAGAAGGTGACATAGTTCGTTTCCCGATTCTATCCGCCTGGAACTGGAAAGGAATAGGAATTTGCTTCACTGCACAAGGAACCTGCGACTGTTCTCTTTCTTCTCTTTTGAAAGCTAATACGTTTTCTGTAACTGATGGACCCAGTATTCAACCGACATCAAAATACGTTATTTTACCATGAATATTTTATGCATCTCAGTAAACACGTCATTCACAATACATACATTCATCTGAAAAATTCCGTTCATTTCTACATGGTACAAGGGTATGGACATTATTTTTACTTGTAAAAACATTTTCACTCACAAAGTAAGCACAATTGCACTCCTTCATCCATTAACCCACACTTGGAAAGGGATATTATGAGTGATGGTGAGTGTCAAATTTACTCCCTTCCAATTAATCAAATTAACATAAGCCAACCCTTCTTTTGGCTTCATCCACGTTGCTTTTGGGGAGAAAGATAAATGATGCTCCTCTTATCTTCTATTTTCCTAGCTCCACCAATCACCCTCTCCATTTTCATGTAGAAAATATAATTTGTTTATTTGAGAGGTGATCCACCACAATTCTATCTTCACATAATCTTTCCAAGGGGTTATAATGATAGACATGGCAGTGCCACCATCTCAACTCCCTCCAACAAACAAAGCTACATGGCATGCAATATATTTACCATTTACATGAATGAGGTGTTTAAGTGGTGTGCTAGCTAATTGTTTACCTCTAGCCACTCACTACCCTTCTTTCTCATTCAATGACACATTGGAGAAGCCAAGCAAGTAAAGCTTGTCCTTTCTTCCAACATTTAACCTCTCTTAGTGGAGGTGTCATCAATCCCACACAAGCAAACCCTTGTACCCTTCCTCTCCATTTGCACGTGGAAGATGAGTGACCATGTTGTTGTTTTTTTCCATTGCTTAAACGAACTAAGGGAATTCACTTTCTGTTTTACCACAACCAAACTCACTCCCCATCAACCTATACGTGGAGAAGAAGGAGTTTCTCCATCAAGGTGAATATTTTACTTCCTTTCTTCTATCATACTTAATTAGTTAAAGTAACCAACCATCCATTGCACTCGGTTGGTTGGGTGTAAATGTATTATTTTTATTTTATTATTATTCACACGCCATCTACGCCATTTATGCTTTCTCAGTAGTTCATTTTGGAGTTGAACTTCTAAATCTCTCTCAAGAGTCGGCTCAATATGCCGCTCCCGGTTACTCTCCTCTCAATACTGACTTGAGCTTCGGAGCAGGTCCCCGCCGACACACCGTCGACGGTTCCTCTTGTTTTGCAGGTGTCCATCTCGGAGGCTGGTCGCGGATGTTGGCCAGGAAGATCGACGCTAACCGGACCTCAAACACATTGAAGCAGGCTCCTCGGAGCTTGGCATCAACAATTGGCGCCCACCGTGGGGCCCGGTGAGATTAATACCAACAAATCGTCAATCCAGCAAGACGAGGTGGACACACAAGATCTGCAAGCCGAAGCCGGGATTCATCAAGATGCAACTCTAAACATCAATCAAGTTGCTATCTCCAAGAATCGAGGATCCCAACGAGATGGACATGCAGGATATGCAAACTGAAGATGGGATTCGTCAAGATGCAACTCCAAACATCAATCAAGTTGCTATCTTCAAGAATCGAGGATCCCAATGAGATGGGATGCAGGATATGCAACCTGAAGAAGGTATTCGTCAAGATACAACTCAAAACATCAATCAATTTGCTATCTCCAAGAATCGAGGATCTCTCGACCAAGATTGATTTGTGTCAATCTTTGGTCCGGAACTGCGGGCCCTCAACCCCACTAGTTTCTCCATCGATTTGCCGCCAAATCATAGGATCCTCGAGTCATCCCATGGAATGGCGCCCTGACATCAACAATTGGCACCTATAGCGAGGCTCGATGAAAAGTTCCATCAACAATTTGCGCTTAATGTGGGGCCCGGTGAAAAAAATTACAAATTGTCAACGTCAACGTCAAACCCGCTCGGAGAGATGGTGGAGAAACCTGATGTCGTGCAATTCACAACGAGGTCGTGGGGGCACCGATTTTGGCCTGCCTCTCATAAGACCTACAATTTAGCGGAGAAGCCTAGGTAGTCCACTTTCTAAGTAGGCTCACCTCCATCAATGAGGTCAAGGGTTCAATTCCCCGCGAATTGCTATTGTGAAAAAATATCCACTTTTTCACCCACACCACTCTGCCTCCCATCTCTTCCGAATCATGACGGGACAACTTTTGCATCATCATCACCAATCTGATAGGGCAACCTCTTCCCTTCTCATGCTCCCATCAAGGAAAATCCAAGTATGAGAAAGTTTTTTATATGTTAATCCCTCCTAAATTCTCATTTATACTTTATATGAAAATTCTCCTATGATGTTGCATAACCCAAACTATTGTCCTTATCACTCATACACGGACAACACTAAATACACACAATAAGGCCGCAACGATTGGCACTGGTCGCCTGCAACAGTTGGTTTGGATCGCCTACCATTATTGGCACGATTCTCCATGGTGCCCATCACAATTGGTGCGGCCTGCCTGTCATATTTGACACGGATTTCAATGATCGCTCGCCACGATGGTGCATCGCATCAACCATAACTGACACGACTCTCCAATAATTGCTCGCGCTATTTGTGTCGGCTATGCATGCCATAATTTAAACCACTCACTTAGAGATGTGTTACCAATAGAAAACTTTGGTTTCAACCTTAATTTTTCTATTGGTAAGGGGGCAATTGATGGACCCAGTATTCAACCGCCATCAAAATACGTTATTTTACCATGAATATTTTATGCATCTCAGTAAACACGTCATTCACAATACATACATTCATCTGAAAAATTCCGTTCATTTCTACATGGTACAAGGGTATGGACATTGTTTTTACTTGTAAAAACATTTTCACTCACAAAGTAAGCACAATTGCACTCCTTCATCCATTAACCCACACTTGGAAAGGGATATTATGAGTGATGGTGAGTGTCAAATTTACTCCCTTCCAATTAAGCAAATTAACATAAGCCAACCCTTCTTTTGGCTTCATCCACGTTGCTTTTGGGGAGAAAGATAAATGATGCTCCTCTTGTCTTCTATTTTCCTAGCTCCACCAATCACCCTCTCCATTTTCATGTAGAAAATATAATTTGTTTATTTGAGAGGTGATCCACCACAATTTTATCTTCACATAATCTTTCCAAGGGGTTATAATGATAGACATGGCAGTGCCACCATCTCAACTCCCTCCAACAAACAAAGCTACATGGCATGCAATATATTTACCATTTACATGAATGAGGTGTTTAAGTGGTGTGCTAGCTAATTGTTTACCTCTAGCCACTCACTACCCTTCTTTCTCATTCAATGACACATTGGAGAAGCCAAGCAAGTAAAGCTTGTCCTTTCTTCCAACATTTAACCTCTCTTAGTGGAGGTGTCATCAATCCCACACAAGCAAACCCCTGTACCCTTCCTCTCCATTTGCACGTGGAAGATGAGTGACCATGTTGTTTTTTTTTCCATTGCTTAAACGAACTAAGGGAATTCACTTTCTGTTTTACCACAACCAAACTCACTCCCCATCAACCTATACGTGGAGAAGAAGGAGTTTCTCCATCAAGGTGAATATTTTACTTCCTTTCTTCTATCATACTTAATTAGTTAAAGTAGCCAACCATCCATTGCACTCGGTTAGTTGGGTGTAAATGTATTATTTTTATTTTATTATTATTCACACGCCATCTACGCCATTTATGCTTTCTCGGCAGTTCATTTTGGAGTTGAACTTCTAAATCTCTCTCAAGAGCCGGCTCAATATGCCGCTCCCGGTTACTCTCCTCTCAATACTGACTTGAGCTTCGGAGCAGGTCCCCGCCGACACACCGTCGGCGGTTCCTCTTGTTTTGCAGGTGTCCATCTCGGAGGCTGGTCGCGGATGTTGGCCAGGAAGATCGGCGCTCACCGGACCTCAAACACATTGAAGCAGGCTCCTCGGAGCTTGGCATCAACAGTAACCGGCGCGGCGACTGGAAAAGTAGTCTCTTTTTCTCCTTTCAGTCTGCCGTTACAACTAGTTACATGTGGAATTCGTTTTGACAGATATTCAAGTTGACAACCCGCAGGTCAACCCGCCGGTTATCCCATTTTGACCGTGATCCGATAAGAAAAATGGGTCGTACATATTCGTTAGGTCGACGGCTGTAAGATACTGTGTTGGACTTTAAATTGTGTCATTTTCTTGAAATCCGTCTATTTTTCGGTTCTCCTTTTTGTGTAACCCAATCTTTGAAATTATAAGTTGAACATTTGAATATTGATGTTTATATAAATGTGTGAATTTTCACTATATGTTGGATCCAAGGTAGGACATGTTTTTTGGTGGAATATTTTGTGTTATTTTATTATTATTTTTTTTTTGAAAGGGAACCTGTTATGATGTATTAAATAAGATCAATTGCTACATCATCCCGACGCAGCTGGTCTAACAGGTAAACATTCGCTCTATCGAGCCAAACTTCTCTCATCTCCCAACGAGTCTTGCTGTGGGCCATAATATGCGTCGCCTGATTTGCCTCTCGTCGAATGTGGCTAATGGTTCCTTCTATGATCGTTGGTCTCCTCAACAACTGCCTTATGTTCCGACAAATAACACCCATCTCAGAGATCGCCGCATCTGACTCCTGCATATGGCAAACGAGGCACAAGGAGTCGACTTCAAGAGCAATACGGGGAATGGCCAATTGGTTAGCAAGTTGAACTCCAAACTCCGCTGCAAGAGTCTCCACCATCTCAACCGTGTGACTACCTCTAATATTTTTTGTTGCTGCCGCAATAAGTCGGTCATTGTGGTCGCGAATCACCGCCCCCAACCCAATCCCTCCTCATGCTATCACCCCCGCATCCGTATTAACCTTTGTCCAGCCGACCGGTGGTCTTCTCCAAACCGTCTGCGCCGTACCTGAGGGTGCATTTTCATTCCTCTGTTGTTGCATTTGATATTCTTCTAACAAGTTTTGGGACTTAAGGACAATTTCATGCTCCGGCCACTTCACTCCATTGAACAAATGAGCATTTCTTTCCTTTCATAATGCCCATAGAAGCATCACCCAGCCTTCAAGCTTCGCCTGTTGGGCCTCCTCCATCACCTTAACCACCCACTCGAAACAGCTCCCAACGTTCTAGGTCTCAAAAAGCTCCGCAAAAGGTGATGCCCGCCAAATCCTGCCACTCCAAGCACATTCAAGGAAATAGTGCTTTTGGGTCTTAGGTTCATTACAGAAGGGACAAGAATCACTTCTTTTATCATTTTTGGCATTGACCTTCACACCCGTAGGGAGGATCTCTCGAATAAACTTCCATAGGAAGTTCCTAATTTTTGGTGGGACATTGAGCTTCCAAACCTTCTTCCAAACCTCTGAACTGCCTTGCGTAATTACCCCCTCCCGCCGCTTGAATTCATCCAGCCATTTGCACTACCCATCACGTACAGTGTAGTTTCCGTGATAATTGTGCAGCCAGATGAGCCGGTCTTGCTCGTCACAAGCACGGAGCGGAATCGCCAGGATAGATGCCGCAATCTCTGGCGGGAAACAGCTCCCAACCAACTCAGCATTCCATTGATCTGTTCCCGGGTCGATGAGCTCACGAACAAGGGAATCCACAGGAAAAACTCTAGGCGCTGAATTGGTGAACGGTTACTCCCCATCGGGCAGCCAGCTATCACCCCAAATTCTAACCTGTGCTCCGTTCCCAATTCTCCATCGAAGACCTCGGCACAAGAATTCTTGACAGCCCATCAGGCTCTGCCAAATGTAACTTGGTTGGCCACCTATTCGAGCTTCCAAAATCGCGCAATGTTTGTGATATTTCACCCTCAGTAGTTTTGAAATGAGCGCCTCCGGCCGCTGACTCAAGGACCACAGTTGTTTCGCCAGCAGGACTGTGTTGAAACCTTTCTTGTCCCGAAAACCCATCCCCCCTTCCTCCTTTAGGTTGATTAGCTCTTCCCGGCGTAGCCAGTGTGCTTTGCGTTCACTCCCTTTTTGCCCCCACCAGAAGTTGATAATTAGGTTATGTAGCCTCATCCAGGATACCATCCGGGATTTTAAACACGGACATAGCATATCTCAGTTGCGCCTGGGCTACTAATTTGATTATAGTCTCTCGAGAAGCCACTAACATAGTTCTCTCCTTCCACCCCTTCAGATTCTTCCCTACTCGTTCCTTCAATTCCACAAAAAGCTCTTTTTTCGACCTCCCGACCTCAGTAACCAACCCAAGGTACTTGTTCTGCTTTTCAACAATCTGCATACCTAGAGTTCCACCACAATTAGCTTATTATGAGGCTTCACATTGGCAGCAAATGAGACTTCTAACTTTTGATAATTCACCAGCTGGCCGGATTCCCTCGCATACGCTTGTAATATATTCTTCAACTCTAGGCTCTCCTGTTGTATTTCCCTAGCAAAAAAGATATTGTCGTCAGCAAAAAATAGGTGGGTAATCACCGGGGCACCCCTCGTGACTTGTTGGCCATGTAACCGGCCATCGGTCATTGCCTTGGTTACATAAGCCGATAATCCCTCCGCACAAAGCAGGAAGAGATAAGCTGACAAGGGATCGCCCTGCCGAATTCCTCTCTAGGAACACAGGTCTGGGAAGCATGTCCATTCACTAGCACTGAGTACGATACTGAAGTCACGCCCATCATGATGAGTTTGATCCAGGCTCCCGCGAATCCCATTCGCTGCATCACACCCTCCAAGAACTTCCATTCCACCCTGTCATAGGCTTTCGCCATATCGATCTTTGCCGCAAAGAAACTGTGTTTATGTCTCTTGCTCTTCTTCATGGTATGGAAGCATTCAAAAGCCGCCATAACATTATCTATGATAAACCTCCCTGGTACAAAGGCGCTCTGCTCAGGAGAGATAATCTTATCCAACAAAGTTTTTAGCCGATTTGCCAGGACCTTCGAGATAATCTTGTACAAAACATTGCATAAATTGATAGGGCGGTACTCCTTTGGGGACACCAGTTTCTTCGTTTTTGGGATTAGGGCAACAAGACTATGGTTAAGGCTCTCTTGCATCACCCCTGTCTCCAAAATCTTTAGGAACGCCAGCATTACTTCCTCACCAATCACATGCCAGTACCTGCGAAAGAAAAGAACTGTGAAGCCATCCGGCCCCGGGGCTTTTCGCTTCCCCATTTGCTTGAGGACTCCAAAGATTTCCTCCCTAGTGAATGGCTGGAAAAGGCGAGCGTTATCTTCATCAGTCACACGCCTAGGGATAGACTCAAGAATGGGCCTGTCGTT